TTTCGACAATCCGCAAAGCAATCATGGTATGATGTGCCGTTGCTGTATCTTTCCACAACCTACTTATAACCAGACAGCAATCAACAAAAGAGCGTCAAACCACAAATATATCCATGCACTAATCTTTCCCAATGTCCCCTTAAATCCGGGAGTCACTTGTACCAGTTGACAGTTGATGACTTCACCAGATTAGCATCAATAGCTAGGTCTTGTGTGATGAGTGTCTTGAGCGTATAGGGTATCTCTGTTGTGCAGTATATCTTAATTGCACATTAGATGCTGTTGAATAGCAGAGCCACAGGGTTGCATCCACCTAGATATGGTGTGTGTGCATAATTATCTCAAATAAATCAACGCCAAACATTAACATATCAACACATCATGACTTTGTGAGAATTAGACCCGCTATCAGCAGCAGTGCTTGTTATTCTGGTGAGAATAGTGGTGGAGCTGTCTTTCCTGCACACTCGATTCACGGGTGCATCAGTTATTCCAACAATGTCCGATATACGGTACGTTGAATTGTGCTGAGAATATCATAATACGCAGTAAATAGCATGTCTGGGAATTCACAGTTGGGTGAGCTTACTCGAAAGTGACACCGGCTACGGCATTACTTGGTGGGGGAAGACAGCTTGGTAATGGCAGTTTCAATAACTGTATATATCAAACAGGTGTTGGCTGTTCCTGCGCATCATCTATTGTACAGTGCCTATACTATTTGACACTCTCCTCTGGAACACCAATACAGAGCACGTTACTGCTTGCTGTTACACATGGCGATATTCACTAAGCATACCGAGCAGGCGGCACTCCAAACTGGTCATAATTTGTGGCATCGCCTCTAACATAACTTACTAGTTCTGAATTTGAATCTGAATCTAACTCATACATACAGCGTATTCGAAGGAATGCACTAGACAATTGACCTGTCGTTGGTACGGTGAGGTCTCGAAGCACATCTGCCAGCGAGCTCATTCATGTGCGGCTTTTGGAGTAATGCTGTGATTATAATCTGCTGTCCAGCTTGGTTTATTGGTTTTGGGAAGTATATCAGATCGACAGGGCCTTGAGTCCAGTGCCTTTTTATACATGCTATTTAGCTGAACAGCTCCCTGTCTGTGCTTGGTTGCAATTTGTCCTGGTGTGGTGGCTGCGGATCAGAACGGTGAATTTGTCCTTGGCACGTCCCAGGGATGTCTTGGCACGTCTTGGCACGTCTTGGCAGCGACATGACATGTCTTGGCAGAGGTGTTTGGACAGTGGCTGGTGGGACGGTGTGGAGGCTACTGTTGGTGCTGTGTGTACTGTTGGTGGTGTGAGGATACGGGATGCCAAGAACGGTGCGTCGTGTGCGTACGGCTCTGCGCGGGCTGCGTGGGCTGCGTGGGCTGCGTGGGCTATGCCCTCCTGCAGACGAACTGCGTCGCTCCCCGTTCCATACGCGGCTCCCTCAGGCCACTTCTGTGCCCCACCACCACTCACCGAGTGATTTACATATTGCGAGAGTGGGTCTTGCCCCCGCGGCATTCCCCTCGCTCTCGTTCTCCTTCTCTCTCCTTCTCTATCCTTCTCCGTCAGCCTCCTCACAGATGCGGCGTGCTCAAGAGGAGTCAGAACGATTTACGGTTCTCCCACCAGGCACAAGGCCCTTCCTTACATTACGTCTGCTGGAAGGACCCTGCTGATGGCATGCTTCGTTCTGCATGCATCATGTGGAGTAGTGTTGGCCATGCGACCCCGTTGCAAGCACTACGGGCAGTGCAATAGAATTATTGATATAATCAGTATGTAGACAGCTCAATAGAATTATCAATATACTCATATGTAGACAGCTCAATAGAATTATCAATATACTCATATGTAGACATCTCAATATATTTATCAATATACTCATATGTAGGCAGCGACTGCTCAATTGAAAAAGGGAACAAGTATTGCTACAGTTAGTAGTGTTTGTAGAAACACATATCACTGGTTGAGATGTTGTTACTAATTATTGGTAGCAACTACGTTACGTTCATTATTCCTCGAGAACCCTTCCCAGGTCCTCCACTGATCGCCCTAAATATAAATTTTCGGCTTGAACAATGACAAGCTTCGGCCCTGACGACTTGGCCAGTAGAGAGTTCTGCTGAATTAACCGAAATGGGTATCAATTTAGAGCTAGTCTGGTGGTAAGCTTATACAAACTAAATTATATATTATTATATACAGTCTCAAACTAAAAACAGCTAATAAAGAACTTAAAATATGACTTCACTAAATCTTCTAATGGAAGCATGAAATGATTACCAGTAACGAACAAAAACTAAGCTTTGCAGGGAACTATGTCTGCATACAACCGTCGCATGCTTAGAACAGCGCCATGACCAGTCCTGCAATAGCAAAGGAAACAAAGTTGGCACCTCTCTGTGCAGCGTCGCCATGGAACACAGACCCGATGTATGAAGAACTGACTGAAACAGTAGCTGCTCCGCTACCCGAACCACCTCTGACAGCAGACGCATTAGAGCCTGAATTAGAACTTGAACTAGGCTTGGTACCACTGTTAGAGCCAGAGTTGGAGCCGGAATTGGAACCAGAGTTGGAGCCAGAATTCGAGGCAGCATTGGAGCCGGCATTGGAACCAGAGTTGGAGCCAGAATTGGAACCTGAATTAGAACCAGGCTTGGTACCACTGTTAGAGCCAGAGTTGGAGCCAGCATTAGAGCCAGCATTGGAACCAGCATTAGAACCTGAGTTGGAACCTGAGTTAGAACCAGGCTTGGTACCACCGTTAGAGCCAGAATTGGAGCCAGCATTAGAGCCAGCATTGGTACCACTGTTAGAGCCAGCATTACTACCAGAGTTAGAACCAGAGTTAGAACCAGGCTTGGTACCACCGTTAGAGCCAGAATTGGAACCTGGGTTGGAGCCAGAGTTAGAACCAGCATTAGAACCTGAGTTGGCACCTGAGTTGGAGCCAGCATTGGAGCCAGCATTGGAACCAGCATTAGAACCTGAGTTGGAACCTGAGTTAGTACCCGAGTTAGAACCTCCATTAGAACCACCATTGGTATTACCGGTAGAACCACCAGGATTGGAGCTAGGCTTCGAACCAGAATTGGAACCGGTAGGATTGGAACTAGGTCTGGAGTTGGAGCTAGAAATGGAGCTAGAAATGGAGCTAGAAATGGATCTAGGACCAGAGCTAGGACCAGAGCTAGGACCAGAGCTAGGACCAGAGCTAGGACCAGAGCTAGGAGCAGAGCTAGGACCAGAGCTAACACCAGAACCACCAGTAGGCACCATAGAGGTGTCTACTGAACGAGAAACGTTAGACGACACAGACACACTAGGAGAGTAGAACACCGCACCGTCGTCCACACGGTCGTAAGTCAGGTACGTAGAGGATAGCACAATTGTGTGGCCAAAAGAGTCCGAGGTGGTCACATGCGTAACAATCTTCGTGATTGTGTGTCCATCAGAGACAAACACAGAGGTGTAGTCCGCCTCCCCGCCATCACTTGGCTTCAATGGGATCGTGGTGACGATGGTGGTAGGGTTGCCGTTGGAGTCCTTGGTGGTGATGTGGGAGACGAGGTCTGTCTCGAAGTCACCGTTGCCCTTGTCGATCGTCGTCGTGTAGTCAACCTCCGCTGGCGTGATCGTCGACACCGTCGTCGTCCCAGTACGTGTCACTCCGTCCTCACCCTCAGATGGGAAGTACGAGATCACAACTGTCTTAGAGCTTCCGTCATCCTCAGTAACTGTGCTCGTCACAACAGGTGGCTGCGAGTATGGCTCAGGCGACGTGAACACTCCCTCGTCCACCTGCGCGAACGACGCCATCGTCGTCGTGATCGTCACCGTCTTCCCGTCAGAATCAGTAGTGGTGATGTGCGACACAACCTCAGTGATCGTGTGCCCATCAGACGTGATAGTCGTCGTGTAGTCAGCCTCCGCTGGCGTGATCGTCGACACCGTCGTCGTCCCAGTACGTGTCACTCCGTCCTCACCCTCAGATGGGAAGTACGAGATCACAACTGTCTTAGAGGTTCCGTCATCCTCAGTAACTGTGCTCGTCACAACAGGTGGCTGCGAGTATGGCTCAGGCGACGTGAACACTCCCTCGTCCACCTGCGCGAACGACGCCATCGTCGTCGTGATCGTCACCGTCTTCCCGTCAGAATCAGTAGTGGTGATGTGCGACACAACCTCAGTGATCGTGTGCCCATCAGACGTGATAGTCGTCGTGTAGTCTGGCTCTTCCACCTTGACCGTGATAGTTTTAGTAGCAACGTGTTCCCCAGTGTCATCTGACGCAATGTAGTACGTAACAATATCAACCTCCACTAGACGGTCTTTCGAGACAGTGGTGGTGAAAAATGAACAGGTAGAAGATGATCCAAGAACAACGCTAGTGAAGTGACCATAGAGATCGTACGCTGCTGCATACGACACATATTTGGTACACCCAGGGAAACTGGTCGAATCGGTCACTGTAGAGGTTTTGGCATCTGGACATACAAATGATTCATCAGAGTTAAACATAACAGCATCCAGGGTAACACTCGTACCATTCCTATCGAGAGTTTTTTGAACAATCTTAAAATTCTTGGATGTGGCACAACGCAAGAATCCTAATTGACTGTTATCAATTATCAGATGGTAGGTGTTTCTGGAGGTGACAACTTCCAATACAGTGTTGTTCAGATCGTTACTAGAGATGTTAATCGACATAACTTTAGTGTCAAAACCAACGTAGTTTGGACCTTTGACAAACGAGGAGTCAAGCAGGATATCATGGCCACTTGTGGCTACACTGTCTTTAACATTCACTCCACTTTCACCCGATGGAAAGCGGAAGTTAAATGGTATTGTTGCATGGTCAATATCATCAAACCACATCCTACTGTTGCTCAAGTCATATATCCATGTGAAAGATACAGGACCTTCATAGAAAACGTCTGAATCTACCAAGTAACCTTGGCTCAAGGAGACAGTAGATGTTGCAGGATATGTTACTGACTGAAAATTCTTGAAATAGGTGTCCAAAGAATATAGTGTCTTGAAGTCTAAATACGCAGTACTTCCTTCTCGAATACTTGCCGTTAGATTCATCTGCCCCTTGCCGCTAAATGAATCCCCAGTCATCTTCACTGTAGTGGGCCCGGTAGCAAATACATCATAAAGAGCAACACTATGGCCCAAATCAATTGAACCTCCGTGGTATGTGAACAGAACACCTGGCGAACCTGGTTCAATAGCTACGAATGAAAAGTAAGTAGGTAACTTAATATTGCCATTGAAAGCAATCTCTTTCACTGTAGCTCCATAATACAAGATATATCCGGCATCCCCAGTAATATCCCCATCGTGTACATATGAAGGATCATCTGTCTTGCCACTGATATCACCAGATAGTACGCTTGATATTAGAGTTATCAAAAGAACATAAATAGACCACTTGTTCATATTTTGATATGGTCAATTCAATGATTTTTGCCTATTTTCAAACTTTTCAAACTTTTCAAACTTTTCAAACTTTTCAAACAATAGAAAAGTCCATTTAATAGCACATGAATGAACTGTGTAACCCATAGCATTCCCCTTTTATATCAAACAGAGTATTCTCCATTCCTTGAAATGTGGTGGAGTAGTTCCTTTCTCATACCCAAAAAAAGCATCAAATCGAATTACATTTAGCTTTGACTGTAGACAGTTACTATTGTATACCATCCGTCACCTATCAAGAATTGAATATCAAATGTGGTCTAGACTTCGCAAGTATTGGAAAGAGAATGATTTGCAAATGATTTGCAGATAAATCACATCTGTACATTCGAGGAATTGTAATGCCAATTGCAGAACTATCTACAGCTAATATTTGGGAGCAATATAAAGTAACAATATCTGCTCCTGAAACATATGCTCATAGGGGAAACATAGGGCTAGTAGCAGTATATGAAGATCACCACCCTACAAGGATATAAGCAGCGTAAAGTATCATCATAGCTATTGGCGAGTAAATACCAGAAAAGCCAATCGTATTACTATATCAGGTAACAAACAGTATAATCCCGGGTCAGATTACCCAACAAGCGCAGGTACGCTGTTTCTGCGTTAGCCATCAATAAATTATGCACTTACCCCAAAAATTAATTGCTTACTGGCACTGTGCATCTTATGAAACAGCCTCAATTCCCCCCTCCCCCATCAGTTAGTGCCAATGACTTATGCACTACAGTCCTTATGACTTAGGGAGATAGTAAACCAAAGACCCACCATGTGCAGGTATAGAATAAGAGCATATCATGGGGTTTACGACCCTTCATGGCGATTATCGTTGATGATCAAAATAATACTAAATAACAAACGTACAGAGGACTGCACATCTGAAGTCATTTGAAGAAACCTTAATCAATCATTTCATAATAAAGTGATTTATACGCACAAAACATAGCTTCAACAAAAAAGAAAGCGATTATCCATGGGTTCTCGCTCCTTATTATTATTGGTAAGTATAATAATTACTGTCTAGTTCCCTAATAATAGACAATATAGTTGATAACACGAGTTTCATGTGTGTGGAATTCCCAATGCCTATACAGATTAATCAAAATGAAGAAGCGAACCATCATTCTTACATCATTCCCTCGTAGTTAATAGTTTCAATGCTTTAGTGATTTGCCCAGCTACATATGAAACATGGGCATGTGAGGATGGCAGTGGACACAATGTTACAGTGCAACTCTACCAAATCAAAGCACTACAATCCCAAATCTACTTATTTGTCTTCTGTAAGTCACTCTTCGTCTATTCAAGCCAGTCTCATTCCTTTATCAATGTTATTGCTTTTTTATATTGTGTCGATGTCCCAGTTCTGTGCTGAAAATGTCCTTCCAAGAGAGACCTACCAGAATATCTTGACTTACGATGGCCAGGGGCCCTTCTCAGAGACAGACACAGACACAGACACAGACATGTCTGTCCCAGTAACTATCACGTAATGTCCCAAGACACTAATATGTCCAATAATGGCAACAGCAGCAAAGAACCATCAATCAGCACAAGAGCGTACGTCAGCCAGCTCGCGCAGCATATCGGTCGTCATTCACAATCTGTTCACAAGTTCAGTGTAGCCAGAACTGCGCACTGAGTTGCACACAGACACTCCAGCTCTCCAGCTTCTAAACCAAATTATCAGGGACGCTCGCATTCTGAGATCTTTGATATCCTTCTTTACAGTCCTGACACTCACTTTTATTACCAACAGCGCAAAAACAGCTCTGAGATGTAAGTCGCTACGAAATGGCGTTAGAGAGACTAACTCCAATAATACCATTCGCAATTTGCAAATTCACAAACACGCCCTAGCCCCTATCGTGAATGCTAGTATTTCTCGCAGAATAAAAGTTAACTTGTCATATGTTAATAGAGCCAGTGCCACCAGTATACAGTTCTCCTTACTTGTAAAACTACCAAATTATCGGTAAGTATGCAACACCGATAGAATTTTCAAGTAGCAAACAAAGATATAGACGAATAAAGTATGCTAAGCGTACAGGGTCCCTTACCCAATGAACTCCTTGCGACTGTTAGATTCGGTCAAATCAGTCTATTTAGACATGAGACAACCACCTTTTCCCTACTCTGTTTCTTATTATTCGAAACATGGAATTGTGCTTTCTACTTCTGTTTCAAGTGTAACAATCCCGCTCCGTCGTCGAAATCGCCAATATTCAGTAGCTGCCTCACAGACTGATCGAGGCCTATCAGGACGGTGGCATAAATAGATGTATCACTATCACATACACTATACACTCTGCACCATTTCTTCCGTTGAAAATTAGCGTCTCTGCCCCTCACACTAGTCCTTCCCAGATACCATTCTGACCCTCACCCTATCTACTGGTCAGCCTATCCTGGCGTACCATTAGAGTTAACAAACCGCAAGTACACACGCGAAGGTCATACAGGAAAGCATTATTCTATGAAGCTTCTACCAACTCTCTCTTATCGGTAACAAAACAGGTATAGGAAACTGCGCTATAATTGATCAAAACAAAATCACAAAATGAAACTGAGTGTTAGCGCGCCTTCTGTGGTCCACAAATATTAATTTTGTCAGCTTCACATAATAATACTCACGTACCCGGCTAATAAAGTGTCTCATAGAAGAGGTGACTGAGAGACACTGGAGTTCTCTGCTATTAGAAAAAGAAAAATTACTGAAACATGGACGGCGAAAACAATCAATATTAATAATCCGCTAGTAATTAAAATTTCGAGTAGCTATTAAACGTAATTTAATCAATACAATTATTACAGCCAATAATTGAAGTTAATAATACACCTAGTATATTACTCATTTCCGTCCCTTTTCTATGCTGTTCCATACACTGTTCCATACACTGTTCCATACACTGTTCTCCCCCTCTTCTCGCCGTAAACTGTTTGTGGTATGGCAGACGGACCATCAGGGTTCGGCCAGTGTTCACTTTCCTTGTTTCAGTTCGTGTTTCATTCACGGCATGTCTATGGTGCTCATAAATGCTATCAGCCTTTCCATACAATAGCAGCAATCAGTCACACTAGTGCCCACCAGGATAGACCAGACGGCCAGTGGAAGACTCCTCCCTTCTTGCTAAGACAAATGCTCATACCACAGCTAGCACAGCTCGCACAACTGCGAACACACAAACCTGCGGACACTGCGATTTGTCCTGCACAGCTTTTCTTTTCACACAAAAGAAAGACGACACATACAACAAAGGACATGTCCCTCCCACCACAAATGTCCTCAGTCCCACAGACATCTCGGAATGTCGCAGCAATCGCTGAAAACTGTGGGATCGGCCTCGTCGCACAGCACTTCCAAAGTCGCCACCCGCTTCAGCAGCAACACCACTGATCCTTGTCTAGCTATTGGCCGTCTGTACCGTTCACCAAGGATCACTTCCACCGACACTAGTACTTCACCAGTGCTCCCACCAGTGCTCCCACCAGTGCTCACTCCAGTGCTCACTCCACTGGCCTCGACCTGCTCAAAGCGGGCAAGACATAGTTCGTACCACGACACAACAACACCAATGGAGAAGTCTCATCTATGGGAGGTTCTTGCAACTGTCTGCATTCCACTGTCTGCATTCCACAATCCTACAATGTCCACTTTAACACAAATACTCTGTCCATTGCGTCGACCGTCTATACCTATCTGTACTAGTCCATATCTTCATCTGCCTATGCCGTCTTGAACTTTCTCGATCGAGGCATCCGCTACACTATCTCGAATTCAAAACTAGAAACAGAATAAAAAGGAAAAGTGACCGACTCAATGTAGCACATCAGATCCCATGGCCTGTTCTGCAGCCCAAACATGTAGATCGACAACCCTATACATGCGTAGAACTGCACACAAAATTGTCTACTACCACGTACAATGCACTCGCGCTTGTCCACTCACTACGTTTCCATACCGTGTTAAAAAAATTTTCATCATTCGCAGAGCCTACATGGCCACCGTAATACCAGCTAGGAAGCAACCTCATCCTTCTCGCCTCTGCCCTCCTGCCCTCTTAAGCATCTTGCTTCTGTATAATCATGATCGTTGTACACCTCGCCATAACCGCCATAACCGCCATGGCACTACCGCCTTCATTGCTAATCATAACTGCCGCTCCCACAATCTCCCACAATACCATTCCAGCACCCTGCTGTAATATATCCTGGTGACGGCTGTGGCCAACTTAATCTTAAATGCATACAAATCCAAATGGTTAGGAAACCAATTGAGCCTGCAATAGCAACTCTATCCATCTAAGGTTTAGACCAAGACACTACCCAATTGTATCTATCATCCCTCATATGAAAAACCTAGCCTCATACCATCAACATTGGCATCAATATGGCTGTGGTATAATACGCCACAGACATGCACCGCTTCCATTCAAAGCACATATCCCACATAATTCAACGGTAACGGTCTGGCCATACCGGTGACGACTGTCCATACATGCACGACCAGACCATTCCATTGCAGCAACATCGTCATTGTCGCCCCATACCAAAACCTCGGCTCCACCAAGTCATTAACCAATTGGCTATATCCGATATCCCTTTACAGAGTGAATTGAGATTCATATTAGCTCAGGCACGCAACATCCATCGTCTCCGTCCTTTACTTCCCAAATGACTCAACCCAACATCACAATGCAACTAGACACAATCACATGCACACCATTCCACCTAGCCACAGCTCTCGAGAAATCCACACTGGTCTAGTGCACTTGAATGAGATATACACTTTCGACAATCCGCAAAGCAATCATGGTATGATGTGCCGTTGCTGTATCTTTCCACAACCTACTTATAACCAGACAGCAATCAACAAAAGAGCGTCAAACCACAAATATATCCATGCACTAATCTTTCCCAATGTCCCCTTAAATCCGGGAGTCACTTGTACCAGTTGACAGTTGATGACTTCACCAGATTAGCATCAATAGCTAGGTCTTGTGTGATGAGTGTCTTGAGCGTATAGAGTATCTCTGTTGTGCAGTATATCTTAATTGCACATTAGAGGCTGTTGAATAGCAGAGCCACAGGGTTGCATCCACCTAGATATGGTGTGTGTGCATAATTATCTCAAATAAATCAACGCCAAACATTAACATATCAACACATCATGACTTTGTGAGAATTAGACCCGCTATCAGCAGCAGTGCTTGTTATTCTGGTGAGAATAGTGGTGGAGCTGTCTTTCCTGCACACTCGATTCACGGGTGCATCAGTTATTCCAACAATGTCCGATATACGGTACGTTGAATTGTGCTGAGAATATCATAATACGCAGTAAATAGCATGTCTGGGAATTCACAGTTGGGTGAGCTTACTCGAAAGTGACACCGGCTACGGCATTACTTGGTGGGGGAAGACAGCTTGGTAATGGCAGTTTCAATAACTGTATATATCAAACAGGTGTTGGCTGTTCCTGCGCATCATCTATTGTACAGTGCCTATACTATTTGACACTCTCCTCTGGAACACCAATACAGAGCACGTTACTGCTTGCTGTTACACATGGCGATATTCACTAAGCATACCGAGCAGGCGGCACTCCAAACTGGTCATAAT